AGAGTGAGCGACGAAACCCCCAAATCCTAAACCAGGCAACCCCAAACCCAGAAACCCTGAAGCCAGAACCCAAGCCCAGAAAACCCCAAACCAGAAACCGTGAAGCCAAGAACCCTCAATCCAGAAATCCTAAACCCAGCAACACCGAACCCGGAAACCCTGAAGCCAGAAACCCCAAACCCAGAATCCCCAAATCCAGAAACCCTGGAGCCCAGAACCCCAAACCCAACAACCCCAAAACCCAGAAACCCCGAACCCAGAAACCCCAAAACCAGAGACCCCAAACCCAGAAACCCTGAATCCAAAAACCCCGAACCCCAAGCCCGACAACCGCAAATCCACAAACCCTGAAGCCAGAACCCAAGCCCAGAAAGCCCAAGACCAGAAACCGTGAAGCCAAGAACCCTAAACCCAGAAGTCCTAAACCCAGCAACACCGAACCCGGAAACCCTGAAGCCAGAATCCCCAAATCCAGAAACCCTGAGCCAAGAACCCCAAACCCAACAACTCCAAACCCAGAAACCCCGAACCCAGAAACCGCAGAACCAGAAACCCCGAACCCACAAGTCCTAAGCCCGGCAGCCGCAAACCCAGAAACCCTGAAGCTCTCCTGTCGAACAGCTCTTCGATGTGCCCAACATCGGGGGACTCACACCGGCGTATGGACGTTCTCTTACAGCAAACCGCAGGCTCCGGACAGGGTCAGGTCACCACCCGGTTTCACGGGGCCGGATAAAGCCTCAGGTTCGGGGCACCAGCGAGCTTAGGGAGCCCATTCAGGCCACCACCCGGTTTCAGCACTCCAAACCGGGGCCGGATAAAGCCTGCTGAGGGGGACAAGAAATAACCCCAAACCCAGAAACCCTGAAGCCAGAACCCAAGCCCAGAAAACCCCAAACCAGAAACCGTGAAGCCAAGAACCCTAAATCTAGAAATCCTAAACCCAGCAACACCGAACCCGGAAACCCTGAAGCCAGAAACCCCAAACCCAGAATCCCCAAATCCAGAAACCCTGGAGCCAAGAACCCCAAACCCAACAACCCCAAAACCCAGAAACCCCGAACCCAGAAACCCCAAAACCAGAGACCCCAAACCCAGAAACCCTGAATCCAAAAACCCCGAACCCCAAGCCCGACAACCGCAAATCCACAAACCCTGAAGCCAGAACCCAAGACCAGAAACCGTGAAGCCAAGAACCCTAAACCCAGAAGTCCTAAACCCAGCAACACCGAACCCGGAAACCCTAAGCCAGAATCCCCAAATCCAGAAACCCTGAGCCAAGAACCCCAAACCCAACAACTCCAAACCCAGAAACCCCGAACCCAGAAACCGCAGAACCAGAAACCCCGAACCCACAAGTCCTAAGCCCGGCAGCCGCAAACCCAGAAACCCTGAAGCTCTCCTGTCGAACAGCTCTTCGATGTGCCCAACATCGGGGGACTCACACCGGCGTATGGACGTTCTCTTACAGCAAACCGCAGGCTCCGGACAGGGTCAGGTCACCACCCGGTTTCACGGGGCCGGATAAAGCCTCAGGTTCGGGGCACCAGCGAGCTTAGGGAGCCCATTCAGGCCACCACCCGGTTTCAGCACTCCAAACCGGGGCCGGATAAAGCCTGCTGAGGGGGACAAGAAATAACCCCAAACCCAGAAACCCTGAAGCCAGAACCCAAGCCCAGAAAACCCCAAACCAGAAACCGTGAAGCCAAGAACCCTAAATCTAGAAATCCTAAACCCAGCAACACCGAACCCGGAAACCCTGAAGCCAGAAACCCCAAACCCAGAATCCCCAAATCCAGAAACCCTGGAGCCAATAACCCCAAACCCAACAACCCCAAAACCCAGAAACCCCAGATTCGGGGCATTTTCAGGCCATGACCCGGTTTCAGCACTCCAAACCGGGGCCGGATAAAGCCTCAGGTTCGGGGCACCAGCGAGCTTAGGGAGCCCATTCAGGCCACGGTTTCAGCACGCCAAACCAAGACGGGATAAAGCCTCAGATTCGGGGCACCAGCGAGTTTAGGGAGCCCCTTCAGGCCACCACCCGGTTTCAGCACTCCAAACCGGGGCCGGATAAAGCCTCGGGTTCGGGGCACCAGCGAGCTTAGGGAGCCCATTCAGGCCACGGTTTCAGCACGGGGGCGGGATAAAACCTCAGATTCGGGGCACCAGCGAGTTTAGGGAGCCCCTTCAGGCCACCACCCGGTTTCAGCACTCCAAACCAGGGCCGGATAAAGCCTCAGGTTCGGGGCACCAGCGAGCTTAGGGAGCCCATTCAGGCCACGGTTTCAGCACGCCAAACCGGGGCGGGATAAAACCTCAGATTCGGGGCACCAGCGAGTTTAGGGAGCCCCTAGGCCACCACCCCGGTTTCAGCACCCAAACCGGGGCGGGATAAATCTTCAGGTTCGGGGCACCAGCGAGTTTAGGGAGCGGCCACCACCCGGTTTCAGCACGCCAAACCGGGGCGGCATAAAACCTCAGGTTCGGGGCACCATCGAGTTTAGGGAGCGGCCACCACCCGGTTTCAGCACGCCAAACCGGGGCGGCATAAAACCTCAGGTTCGGGGCACCATCGAGTTTAGGGAGCCATTCAGGCCACCACCCGGTTTCAGCACCCCGTTTCGGAGATCCGGGGTTACTGCGCAGCCTGCGACAGTGAGAAAAAAACACCCACTGCATTTTATGCCGTTGCTGCAGTCTCTTGCATGTTGCACAACATGCTAGGGGGACGTCCAGAAATGCGGATTGCACTTTCGACCCCCCCCCCCCCGGAGACATGGGGGATGTTGAGGCTAACAGATCCTGGACATAGAAAGGTGGCAGATACTCAGGACATTGACGGCCCATTTTCTGAATGACTTTAGCATTTATTCTGGCACAGCAGGCGAGGTTCCTCCGGCAGACGTCGCGAGGGAGTAGCTCCTCTGAGGGAGCAATGTTTCCCCGAGCCGACAGCTGTACAAGGAGCTTCCGCCGCGGTCGTACTTCTCCAGAGTTCTCAAGCTTTGGAAGTAAATGATCACCTCTGCGGGTATGTCATCCGGCGTCAAGATACCACGGTTGCGACTCTGGAAAAAATGTACACCCAACTTTGCCGCCTCACGAGCATCTATGGCAATCAGCATGGTGGCATTTTGTCTAAAGCCTGATGTGCTCGGCTTGTCGCGATCAGATTCTGCGATGAGATGGACATGTTGGCATCCTTCGCTGCCTCTTCCAGCCTCAGTCTTCCCCTTTCAGGGGCGGCATTGGGAAACCAAGCCACGGTCAAGTATAGATTCGAAGAGTGACCAGTGGGTGCCGTGGAGGAGTCATTCGGGGAGTGACTTGAAGCATGCTTTCTGCCTCTACATCCGTTCGAGAGTGGCCTGGTAAGGCTCTGATGTAGCGGACGCCGTCACCGAGTCCCAGTTCGTACGGCCTTTTTCATTGTGCCGCACCACTTCTAGCACATCGCCGGCTGTCGTTTGCAACTCCCGTACTTTGGGCCAATCAAGTAAGTCCAGCAGCCTTGCCCATCCTGGGGTGACATCAACCTATGGTCGGTCCACATGGCGCAGGCAGGCTGCCAGCGATTTTGATACCTCGATTGAGTATCGAGTGCTTGGGTGGCAGGAGTCTTCACGGTAGGCACGCAAGCTCCTTGTTCGCCGACCATCCGCGCAGTTTCTGCATCTTTGCGTATGTTGGGGGGCGCTTCTCCACCTTGACCTAAACAGGGAGTAACTCCACCTTTCTCACTTTTGAGGGGAGATATCCTCCTCTGGCTTCGCTGGTTGCCCACAGCTGCGAAGGCCTGTCTGGTATATCCGATAGCGCGACTTCCGAAGCACTGCTCCATTCCCTCAAATAACGAGCTCTTCTTTCGTTGCGGTTTGAAGGAGAAATGCCCGAATCTTCACTGCCTCGAACTTGTAGATGAGTTGGTTTGTCTTCTTGCCAAGCTTGATTGATCCTTGAAGATCTATCTTTGCCTTAATAACAGCTTCGGAGGGCTGTAAGGGCTTAAGGGCTTTCTTTAAGCTTTGAGATAGAGGAAAAAAAGCCAAAATAAGAAATTGAGGGGCTCGATTTCCTAAATTTGAGAAACTGAGGGACTCGATTTCCTATTTTGGGGGGTTCTGGGCTTGCCTAATAAGCGCTTAGTGAGGCCTTCACAAGATTTTAGAAGTGCTTCGGGTTTACATTAAGCTTTGTCATATAGGAAAAACACCAAAATAAGAAATTGAGGGGCTCGATTTCTTATTTTGGGGGGTTCTGGTAAGGGTTGACAAGCTGGGTAAAAAATGGACTCGATATGGTGGTGTCTCAGGAATCTGGAGGCCGCAATGCCCGAGCGGATAAGCACATGAGCTGGAATGGAAAGTGCGGTGGGCTCGAATGTTCCTGTGCTTTCAATTCTTGATTTCCTTTGTAAGGGTTTGGCGCCGAGCTTTTTGGTTGGAATACGAAATCTGCTCCCTTAGTTTATTTTTTCTTATGCGCGAACAACACCAGCAAAGACAAAATGAAAACGAGCAAAAGGAGAAATTTACACTTCGAGTCCAGGGTACCCTGGATTTCTTGTTTGAATGTGCGCATTTGTTGTATATTTTTTTATCGCACGGCTGTCCGAGGGGCTCAATTTCTTAAACCAGTGACTTCTTAAGCAGTGCTGTTGCTGTAGCACTAGTGCTAGTAAGAGTAGTCGTCGTGGTGGTGTTGCCAGCTGCTGTAGCAGTGGTAATAGTTGTGGTCGTTGTCGTAGTCGTCGTAGTGGTAGTGGTAGTGGTAGTGGTAGCTAGTGGAAGTGGTGGTGGTGGTGGTGGTGGTGGTGGGAGAAGTAGTAGTTGCAATGGAGTAGTAGTACAGCAGTACAGTTTCGCAGTAGCACAGTCGAAGTGCCAGTCCGCTCTTCCCCCTGGCAAAACCAACCTTGGCCCGCAGCGTTTGTGTCTGCATTCGTTTGTTCGCAGATCAAATTGGGCAACAGAGGGCCTGTCATACCTGCAGTTCAGGATGTCGCGCGATTGCCGCGCATTCAGCAGCACCAGGAAGAAGGCGCAAAAAACAACCATGTTGATTGTTGGCTTATTGGGACGAATTGGATATGGCGACGCGAAGTGGTTGGATAGCGCATGTTTGTTATCGTCGCATGTGCGAACTTGCGTATGGTCCTGGAGTGGCAGGAGGGCATGGCAATCAACCGTGGCGTCTCAAGGTGCTCCGTGATGGGCGTGTGCGACACCGACATGCTGCAACATGCGCATGCGAACATTCGGCTGCTTGCGGAGGCACAAGAGCTGGAGGCATGATTGAAGCTTGCTTCTCGTATTGGTGGTAAGCGTGGGGACAGCTTGCAAGGCAGTGGCTGCTGCACATCGCCTCGCCCATGCGAGACGCAAAGAGGCGCAGAATCATGTAATGCGGTGGAATGATGTCAGCAAGAAGCAAGGATAAACCTGTGCATGTGTGCTCCTTGCCTTCCCCAGTGCCTTCCGTTCCGGCAGGCAGAAGCTGTGGGACGTGAACCGAATGGATACCCCGCTGCTGAAAGCGACGCTGCCGTCAGAAGCTTGCTTGGGGATCGCGAGCAGTAGACTTGTATGCAACTTGCCGGGTTAGGTCCGAGCACCCTTGTCGAGAGAGCAGCTCAATGAGCTTCATCGTCGTGAGGCGGGTTCTGGGTGTGTAGCATGTTTGAGCCACGTTGCCAGTCGTAGCACGCATGGGCCTGTGCAGGAGCTGCGTTTCGAGGCCCACCGTGCGATGCACGCATCGGGAGGTAAGCATATTCCTGTTTGTTCGACGGGTTAAGGGATAAGGGCACAGGATTGCGCAGGGCCACCATGTGAAGGATGTCAGTGACCCCAACGGTCGTCGCAAACTGAAAACCTGAGTCAGGCAAACTTTGCATTTATCCTTGCCAGGATGTTTCGCTGCTCACATCCAGCATCGACAATACTGTCTCAATCGGATAGCAATCGTTTTGGCAAAGTCGTGAGGGCGACATGCATGCACAGGGAGATACACAATGACACACACACACACACACACACACACACACATGCGCGTGCCCACCCGGTCACCCGCCTATCGAGGTGCAGATAGTCCAGGGGCGACCGCATTGCTTCAGGCACCAGACTGTTACCGATGCCAAACATTGCCAGCCGCTGGGAGAAGTCTGCCAAGGTAGATAAAACAAAGGCGCAGCATAGCATAGCCGTTCACGCGAGAGGGTCTGTGAACTGCTCGCCAAATTCACCAATCAATTTGATATGATTCGACAGCGCCTGGGAATTGACCTTCGTAGCTGAGATACCAGGAAAATGGGAAAAGAAGCAGCTTCGGCACAGGATTGCGCAGGGCCACCATGTGAAGGATGTCAGTGACCCCAACGGTCGTCGCAAACTGAAAACCTGAGTCAGGCAAACTTTGCATTTATCCTTGCCAGGATGTTTCGCTGCTCACATCCAGCATCGACAATACTGTCTCAATCGGATAGAAATCGTTTTGGCAAAGTCGTGAGGGCGACATGCATGCACAGGGAGATACACAATGATACACACACACACATGCGCGTGCCCACCCGGTCACCCGCCTATCGAGGTGCAGATAGTCCAGGGGCGACCGCATTGCTTGAGGCACCGCCAAACATTGCCAGCCGCTGGGAGGTAGATAAAACAAAGGCGCAGCATAGCATAGCCGTTCACGCGAGAGGGTCTGTGAACTGCTCGCCAAATTCACCAATCAATTTGATATGATTCGACAGCGCCTGGGAATTGACCTTCGTAGCTGAGATACCAGGGAAATGGGAAAAGAAGCAGCTTCATGTGTGGGAACTGGGCAAACAGTTTGCTGCAGTACGCTGTTGAGTTTCCTCGTGCCCTCTTTCCAAAGTATATCAAAGTATCTTTCGATTGAAATCGAACGGCGTTCGCTTTCATCAGAGACACAGCATAGTCATAATCTTCTTTCTCAGGAGATGAGGCAAGAAGAGCTTCGGAGGCTACAGCTCGAGCGTGAAGAAGCCAAAATGCGAAGACAGGCTTCAACGAGTAGCTGGGTTGATCATGCGGATGGGAGCAGCTCTTCAGTCTTTCACTGGGACCATTGATGAAAGGAGCAGGAGGAATGGGAGCACGCCATGCGTCGCAAGTTCATCGAAGAGGCAAACGGAGGGTTCATGCGCAGAACAGCAGTGATGATTCGCGTGGGAAGGCAGAGCAGCTTAAAGCTGCCCGGCGAGCACAACGAGAAGTTGAGGCACCAGCAGCATGCGGAGTGTAGTAAAGTTGCAATGGCAGATCTGCCCAGCGGGTGTTGTGGAGTAGATAAATCATTGGTCACATGAGATCAGGGCAAATAGCATGAGTCGATTTCCCTCCTACGATGACGCAGTGGGGATTCCCGTCGACATTTTTGACCGATCTGACAGCGGATAATCGAACCCTCCGACCGCTCAAGACTCAAGACTGCATGCGCACTGGCCGGATCAAGAGGATGGAGGGGATGACAAGTTTGCAATAGTTCTTCCAGCCGTTGCCTTCAGCATCGCAGCCTTGTGTTTTGTGGAATTCCGAAGGCTCCACCGGTAGCGAGGGGCCGTGCAAGTTTGGCCAATGAGCACCATTCCCGAGACGCATGTCATGGCACGGAAGAGAGGGAGAGAGATGTCATCGAAATCGAAGGCTTCCCGCGTGACTGCACAATACTGTGGCAGAGCAGTAGTGTTTGACGTCGACTTCTGTACGAAAATTGATGTGGTGTTCGAGTGCTCCTAGTGCCATGCGCTCTTGGAGCCGTCCAAAGCGGTTCGTTGGTGTGTTTGGATTTTGCCGGCATGTTTGCTTTCTGTCATGTTTTTCTGGACCTTGGTCGGGAGCGCTTTAAAGAACATGTGGCATGTTGCTGACCGTGATCTTGGCGATGTGAGCTGTGTTACTGATGTCCGACGTGGGTGCGTGCGTGGGTGGGTGTGGGTCGGAGACCGGTCGCAGTAGCTTCGTTGATTTTCGCCCATCACGCATGGACTTTCAAAGCCTCTTCGAAAGCAGAGCAATAGTGATTGCATGCGTGCACTTCGCCAGCACACGTGTGGGTGTGTGTCTGCGCTGTTGTTGTGAGACGTTGTGAGTCCGCCCCCCAGGAGCTGCAGGAGAAGAAATGGAAAGAGGGAGCTCAGAGGCGCCAGGCGCTCTACCACCGTTTCCCCCCCCCCATCCCCCCCTCATGCTGAGATTTTGAGCATTCACGAATCTGGTGTTCGTGATAGAGTCTGCTCCAACATGGTCCAGGCAATGAGGCAGGAGGAGGTTCGTGAGCGTGAAGAGGCCAAGAAGCGAAGACAGGCGCAACAAGATGCCACAGTCATAGGTTCGCTGACAAGTTATGAGGGGGGACTTGTGCCATGGCATCATGCAGGAGCAGGAGGAATGGGAACAAGCCATGCGTCGCAAGATTGCTGCGGAGGTGCAGCAACGGATTTTGTTGGGCTGGCGTCGCATGGCATGGCGGAGGTAGATTATGCCCATGACGTGTCGTAGAACATGTAAAACCATAGAACAACAAGGCTCATTTCAATCTGAATCCGGTGTGCTCAGGAGCAGCAGAATGAGGAATTCCGGAGGCGCCAGGCGGCCCTGGGCACATGCGATAGTTGCCGGCACCGAGCAGCAGAGGGTAGCATGGACATGCTTGGACCAGTGTGGAGCACTGTCTACACACCCTACCTTTGCGACCTTTGACTTACGATGAGATCGGAGCTATATCGAAATCGAGTCGGACTCGGTTTCGATGGTATTTCGAAAGCAGAGTTGGGGGTCGAGGTTTTTGCTTAAAGCGACAGCTCCGATGGTCGCATCGAAACCGTATCAAAACAGTGTTGACTGCAGAAGTCGCCATATTTAAAATAGTGTGTTTGAGATGGGGCTCGCAGAGGACCGCCTGACTGATGCTTCTTCCGAATTTCAACAGCGAACAGCGATTGTTCCGAGTGAAGATGGCCGCCTCTGCGTTCTGGAGTGACGATCTTGAAGGTGAGATCGCGGGTCATGTTCTCGCAGGTGCCGATTATGGGGATGTGCGGATAGTTAGAAAAGTCTCATGTGAGAAACTGCCGTACTCGATATAGTTTCATCTCAAATGTGCTTCCCTGCAAAGTCTGATATGGACGCCATATCAACATGTCCCGTTTGAGCGGGCATCCCCGGCAGGCTGAAGAGAAGAATCGAGCACAGGTTTGCAGATGTCGGCTTCAATACTTGGCGAGCTTTTGTAGTCCATGCTTGCAAGCGTCACAACAGGACCATGGAACGGAGCCAAAGGCAGCGGCACCTTCAGCACCGTGTCACATGATGCCACGTACACCATGCGCCCGGCAGGCCAAGATGGGCATGGGCGCCTCTGAGTTCAGGTTTTCTGAGAGGTGATCTGGCTTCAAAGAACTCGGTCCATCTGCGGTTACCGATGTTAGCAGCTCTTCACGCTGACCGACATTAGCTCTTCTTCGTGCAGAGAGAGACAGAAGGTGGTCATTCTCTGTAAGTCTCCAGTTGGGATTGCTGATTCGGGCTTGTTGCCCAGATTTCTTGGCCCCGCCCGACGCTCGGGCCACGACAAGTGCTCCTCTTCAACTCGTCGAACCTGTCGTTTGCATTTCCTTTGCTCGCAATGTAAGCCGGCAGGGACGTGTGCCCACCAACGTCAAATCGTGAAGTCTGCCAAATTCCAAAGTTGGAAGTCGAAAGCACAGACAAAGTTTGAAGCAGCTCTTATTGATCGCACATGCCGTTTCGCAACGTTAGCGCCTAGGACACACCAAGAATTTAGTTTGGGTCATCGATGTCCGCTGTGTCTTGTTGTGTCTTTTGGTGAGCTCGCACATAGACCACATGTTGAGATCAGGCTGACATGTCGCATCACATCTTGCAGCAGCAGCTGATGATGATGATGAGTTACGCTGCCTCTAGATGTCCAGCTACGGTTCTAGCTGCCAGCTTTACTGTGCTTCCCTGAAAAAGCTTTGCCATTAACTGCCTTGTGCACGTATGTACGTGTTTCGAACTGTGGGCACACGGCTTAATGAAGCATTCTTGAAGCTTTCGATCCTGATCCCCTTGGCAATCGCCTAGGCCACATGTTGCACAGCCATCGCCTCCTCGTCATCCGCACCCTTCACAATCCCCGCAGGGAGGTGGCCTGTCCGAAGAGTTCGGGAGTTTAGATGATGCATTGTTGGCCTGTGGATGGAAGGTCGACGTGGAAGGTTTAAACCTACGAGCACGAGCGGCAGAAATGCAGGGGCCTCACCTTTGCTGTGCAGTTGGCCGGCTATTTAGCTTGCTGCCAGGCCGCTGACCTTAGATCTAGCAGCGCTGTGCCCTTGGGCGGTGCTTGGGACTAGGAACCAGGTGTCATTTCACCTGCTTAACGAGGCTGAACTGCAAGCAGCGAAGTCAGCGGCTATGCGACAGCTGCCGGGTGCTTTGCGCAGGGTAATCTGGAACTGCTGCAGTCGTGTTGAAGGACCAAACGAAGTACAGAGCAAAGCACGTCTCCGGCCTTGATTAGCGTGACGAGATGTCCACATGCAGGACAAAACCTCGGATCGGTGTGCCCGGTCGTTAGAAACAGTACTGCTACATCGCCGAACATCGCCGATGTTATCCTAGCTGTTGCGCGTGCGACTGGGAGCCTGCACGATCGTGCAGCGAGCTGGTCCTTCGTGATGGTCCAGAAAACAGTGGTGCCTCAGACAGCCGCGATGCAAAACCGGCAACATGACGGGTCCTTCATGCGATCTGACTCGTCCCCGAAGCCTTTAGCATGTCCCGGCCAATCATGCTTTCGGGAGTCATCCCGATCTTGTCAAGTCTGTTCGTGGATCTGTCGGTCAGGCCGTAGATTGGAGCAAGATCCTTCACTTTTGCATGCAGTGATTCTGATTGCTGGCGATGAACTTTCTCAGGCAATTTGTTTAGCTTGCTTTCGCATGCTTGCGGCAGGCATCCGGCATTCAACCAGCTCTTACTGAGAATCCGGATGCAGACATCTGAGGATCATGTTGAAGCAAAATCCCTCCAAAGAAGCCAGACACAAAGGCTTCAAGGCGAGCTCGCTGACTTGCAACCACTCACACATGCGGTGTATGGACCACATGTTGCAGGAGCTCTTGCGTATGTGGCACCCGGACAAAAACCCTGGGAGCGCAGAGGTTGCCGGGAGCTTGCCCTTGTGGACCAAAAAGCTGCTGATCAGACTAGTGGGATTTGCTTGAGGCAACAACTGTCTTCCAAATGATCCAGGCGGAGAGAGGCGAGCGCCAACTGTCGCAGTCTTCTCGGTCCCGAAAGAGAGCGCAAGAGAGAGTGCAAGAACTTTGACCGCTGCACTTCTGCCAAAACCCAGCTGCTCTGCTCTGCACCGTGCCCCTACCAACCTCATGGCTGGCAGGGGGAGATAGTGAAATGGACGGTCGTTATTCTTGCGAGGCCTTACGGAGCTGGCAGAGCTTGCCACCCCGCTGACCTTGCACCTACGGAAACAATTCTTCTGGCTTGAGCGACTCTACGCCGAGATGGAAGGATGGCCTCCGGGCGTGCTGGGCACCCGAAAATGGGAGGGAGAACAAGGGTCATGGGGGGAACACATCATGACGGTCATGACGAATGTGCTCCAAGATTCGGGTCCGCGTCTCTGTCCTCCTTGCGAGGGAAGCAGCAGCAGCAGCAGCAGCAGCAGCAGGCACAGAAGGAGCACAGCGACTGGCAGCATTTGTTGTACTTGAAGAGGGCTCGGAAGGCTGGCAGAAGCAGAAGCAGAAAGTATACGCCATGGGCTGCTGTAAACCTGCGGCGCTGGGCGGCCTGCGCTGAAGGTGATGGCATGAATGAACAGAATAACAGACAGCAAGTCAGAAGCAGCTGGAGCAACAAAACAGGAAAACGAAGGAACTTCAACGAGGAAGCAAGGAAACCAAAAGGGAAAAACACTGAAGAAACAAGCACGCGAACGAAGCACAGGAAGGAAGGACGGAAAGGGTAGAAGGACGCGGGGGGCAAAAGTGAGACCAGGGCAGGAAGGGGAAAGGAGAACCGAAGGAGACGAGCAATGGAAAAAGCACGCGAACGAAAGCAGCGGGAAGATGGAAAAGGTGGGAAGATGGAAAAGTGGCGGGGGAAGATGGAAAGGTGGGGGCAAGGGGAAGGAGGGAGCTTGGGGCAGGAAAGCAGCGGGAAGGTGGAAAAAGGAGAAGAAAGGGTGGGGTAGGGAAGGCAAGTGAAGAGAAGTGGGAAGTGGGTCGGGGGTGGGGTCGGGCGAGGGTGGGGGTTCAGTGGGTAAACAAAAAAATCCCACAAAAGCCAAAGCGGAAGCCGGGCAAGGGGGTCGAAAACAAGCTCCAAAACCGGGTGGGAGGAGGGAGTATAAACCATCAAAGATGCCTTTGGTCTCGGCCAATTCAGCACATTTTGAGGAAGCGAGGATGCCCAGGCCAACCACCGTAGCAATCGGGGAAGCTCCGACTTGAGCCAACCAAAATCCATAAGTTTCTTTCCGCGATGCTTTCCACATCCTGCCCACTACGTCCTGCCAGCGATGTTGACATGCGGGAATCTGCCCTAGTTCAAGCTGCTCAACTCAACTCAGAGCTCCGATGACAAGTCTTGGGGGCAACGAGCTGCAAGTGGAAGAATTTGGCGAGTCCCCATTCTTTCTCCAGAGGACCGCCTTTCTGGTTGCTCGATTCCTTGCAACGAATCCGAAGGAAACACCCAGCGTGGCGATTCACCAGCTATCAGCTCCGCTGGGGCTGTTCGTCGTTTCACCCACGCTCCTTTGCCCACAAGCAGCACTGGTGAGGGCCTGCTGCCCGGAACCCCTGACTCCGGTGCCTATGCCGGAGGGAGAGAGCCAGTACCACCGCTCCGCGGAGCGACAGAAGAGGCCAGGGGTTACTTAAGTTTTAGTGTAGAGGGGGGATTTGTCGGTGCAGTACGGTGCCTCATCTGACATGTCAGTCTCAGACCGGCATGAGACCCAGAAGTGCGCGGGGGCAGTGCGCTGCCCTTTGGCTGTGTGCAAGCAAGAGAGAGAGAGAGAGAGAGAGGATCCCACGAACACCGCCGGCCAAGACTTCTCCCCGAGGGAGTGTCGCTCCTCGCCACACCGCTGGGCGACTTTGTGGGAGGCAAAAGTGGGACTTTACCAGAGAGAGGGAGAGAGAGAGAGAGAGAGAGAGAGAGAGAACTGGCTCAAGTCGTCTGCCGCTCCTCCATGGGGGGGCACTCGGGGACGGCCCCTCGGGGGGACAGGGCCTCCCTGTCCTTCTGGGGGGTGGACGCTCCTCTGAGTGGAGGTGGCTTGTGCCACATGCCGCAACATCTCGGTTGACAAGGGCCCTGCCTGCCGGACCACGCAAGACTTCCCTTGAACCTGGCCTCCCGGAGACCCTGCCCTTGGCAGCGAACCAGGAGTGGCCCAGCAGTAGGGGGGAGCAGCATGCCACTTGATCGCGGAACCCTTCGCAAACTTGCCGATCCACGGGTACTACGAGGACCAGCTGGAAGAGGGGTTCAAGAAGACGACACAGGTTCGTCCCCACTGCCGACTTCGACACGAAGCAGACGCTGCAGTACCCACAGACTGGACGAGGGACAAGAGCGACCGGATGATCGTGAGAAACACTACGAAGGGGACAAGGGGACAACGACCCCCAAACAACGCAGACGGTGCCTCCAAGGTCCCTCATGGCACGGGGGAGACGACCGATCACACTGCAATGGCGTGCCATGGAAACGACAACGAGGGTGAGGCGGCAGCAACAGCGAGGGCCACACGGCGCAGACAGAGAAAAGACCGACAAGCAGTTGCGCACGTGAGGGGCGGTTTTTTCAGGTTTCAGTCAGTTTTTTGGGCCACATGGGGCCCCGTGCTCCCTTCTTTCCGCTCGTTCCAGCCTTTTCCTAAGAATCGTAGAGAGACGATTCTCCTATCCGATCACTCCGGAATTCGGGGACTGCGAAGCTTTTTCCCCTTGCATTGCTGCCGGGGATCTATATCTCCCTTCTTTTCCTCCTTTCCTCTCACTCCGGGGCTTGTGTGAACTCGCTCGCCCATACGATGAGTACTTATCTTCCATGCTGGAGCCCAGACCAGCTTTTTGCGTGCCTGTACAGTTTTTACCTTCCAGGCCTGGGTCTAAAGAGGCCACCTTCACACCCCCACCTCCACACCACCGCACAGGCATGTCGGGGCCTCAGTGTGTGACGTTCCCCTATCGCATTTATTACCCTTGCCCTTTGCTTCCCACCTCAAAGGCCGCCGTCTCCCTGCCACAGCACCACCACCACAGTAGTGCGGAGACCCAACAGGTTGTGACGTTCCCGTACCGTTGTTGTGCCTTGACCCGCTGGTGTTTAACCCCAGGGGACCCGCACTACCAGCAACATACATCCACAAGCCAATTAAGCCAAGCGGTAAGGGACCCCCGATACTGAACTAGCTGCTGCGGCATTACGGCTTACGGTTTGTGATGAGCCTATTCTAATGGGGACCCAAACTGGCTGGAATCTGCGAGCTGTGGAATATCCACAACCAGCTAACACAGATACAGGCGTGCTTGGCACGGTGGGGATCCCTGTTTTTAGTTATTAAGCATGGCATGTTCGGAGTGCGGGGGGAAGCCAAGCCAGCACGCTTGTCAACAGTCTCACACCGAACACGAACCACGGCGTAGCGCTCGCGCAGGGGTGGTAGGGTTCGCCCCTACCCCCCCACACGCCCTGCAAGCAAGCAAGCAAGAGAGAGAGAACATCTCACAACCGACCGAACGTGGACACTCGGCGTAGCGCTGCGCGCAGGGTTGGAGGGGTCCTACCCCTTCACCCCACACGCTGTGCAAGCAAGCAAGCGAGAGAGAGAGAGAGAGAGAGAGAGAGAGAGAGAGAGAGAGAGAGAGAGAGGAGAGAGAGAGTGTATGTGATGTTCCCCTATGGTCCCTTTACCCCGTGCCTTCTTGCTTCCCCCCCAAAAAACGCACTGGCACCAACAACATAGAACGCCACCAAGCCACTGACCGTATCTGCATGTATCTGCACTGGTAGGGAGCTGTAACGGGGACACCAGCGAGACGGGCCGTACTGATATTGCCTGAAGTGTTGTTCGCCGTATTTCGTACTCTGCCACCCTATCACCTCGGGGTGCCCCGCTACTGGACTGAAAAGAGTCCTGGTCTTGTACCGTGAACAAACACGGACAACAGCACAGCGACTAGCAAGTTGAAGGGGAGTAATAAGGGTCAGTTGCGGTCACTGACGGGGAAGGGCCCCTGCCGCGGCAACTGGCTAGTCCACCAACTCAGTCTCACACCAAACACAGACTCAGGCGTAGCGCTCGCACGCAGGGGTTATGGGGGCATATGGGGGCTAACCCCATGCCCCATACGCTTTGCAAGCAAGCAAGCAAGAGAGAGAAGGTAGCCATTTTGGCTCATGTCATCCCGCCGCTCTACCCTTCGGGGGGAGCGCTCGGGGGCGGCCCCTCGGGATCACAGAGGGTTGTCTCTTTTGTCTTGAGGGGTGGACGTCCCCCGGAGCGGGGGGTGGCTTGAAGCCACATGCCTGCTGCCACGTTGCTCCAGTGACCCCATAGCACCGCTTGCAAGAAACCGCGAGCATGGCGGACTTCGAGTTGAAGGCGAACGAATCCAACAAGGGAACAGAGTTGCTGCTGCTCCGTGTTCGTGGTATGCGCTGCTGCGAGCATGTGCAACGCTGCCTTTCTGTCAGTAGCGAGCGGTTCTGATCTCTTTCACAGCAGCTTCCGCTTCGACGGTGGTTTGCTTGCCTCAGTCATTGGGCGCGAACTCCATACATTTGCAAGATGTCTTCGGTTGGCCTTTGGCTTTCGAGTCGAAGTTGGCAGTGGCCTTCATTTCCCATGAAGGTAATGACTGCGAGCAGATCTCCAGTGCAGATGAACCATTGTTGTCATGGTTTGCGATGGCCTGCGCTGCATGCTGGCACGTGTACCTCATGAAATTCATGACTGCACAGTTGTGTCAATGCTACAACGACATCTTCCACAATGCGAGGGGCAATGCACGACTGAGAGTTGGAGTGTCAATGGCAGTGATGGCCGAATTAGTGCAGACGGTAAACCTGCTCAGCCGGACCTTGCAACTTTCGGTCAGTCTTGATTGTTCAACCTTGACTGTTCAATTCGCCGGGGCTTGTCGTGGTTGCGGTGCGGGGCTTGTTTATTGCAGTTCCGGCGAGAGGTTGGTTCCCTATGCCGGGGGAGTATGCATTCTACTTCAACGTTGACCCATGTACATGTCAAAACCCATCGTTTTCTTCCTGGTGCCTGCTCATGCAGGGGCCAGGCTTTCTTTACCGTCGTAGAGAGACGACGTTCACTCCGCGTAGTTTTTTAACACCGTCGTAGAGAGACGACGTTCACCGCCTAATTCTTAACAGCTGCTACAATAGCGCTCCTTCCCGCATGCACAGTTGAGCACCTTTACCGCTGTACAGGGGGGATGAGGCAATTCGTACCGGCACCTTTTTCCTCGTCCCTTGTTTTTCGGAGGCTTCGGATGACCCGCGTGTAACGGGGACTTGCAGCCGTCGTTTCACGAAGGCCAACGGAGTGAAGCTCCGATGGCCGGTGGCCAAGTGTTTTGTTGGACAAACGGTTTCGGTAGCCTCGTTCTACTTCTTTGCTGTAAGCTCGGAGCAGGTATTTGGACGGCCACGAGAAACTCCGCCCGGTAGTTGTGTCTGGGGAGACCGTGGATGACCCGAATGGTGCTGGAAGGTTTTCTATGGTTACGGTTAGGGTTAGGGGGAGTGTTTTTGGGGGATTGGGTATACGGTATACCAGCACATTCGGAGAAACACGTGCCTTCTCCCAACCCCGGAAGGCCGAAGCCCACAATGGATCCAGCGCGCCGCGAGGGGGTAGGCCTTCGGGCCAAGGGGTTGCGCGCAACCCCTAAACCCCTAAGCAAGCAAGCAAGCAAGCAAGAGAGAGAAAGCCAGAGAGAGAGACAAGCCCTTGAGCAACAGACAGAGAGAGACAATGCGCCTGCGGGGGGGCCGGGGCGGGGCCTGCATTTCCTTTGGCTGTGTGGCAAAAGAGAGAAAGCGAGAGAGATGCCAGGTCGTGTCTTCAAGTAGTTTCAGGCCCAGTCCTCGGCTGTTTCAGGAGAGTCAAGCGGTGGCAAAGCGAAGGGTTTTAATTTCGCGCAGTTGCTTGTTGTTTAGCACACCGAGGATTATGCAAGAAAACATGGTGACGCATTTCAAGCAGCTCCTGCTTCCTGCTGCACGAATACCATGTGGCCGAACGGTTGTCGTGCCGGAATTTGCCGGGATGGTCTCAAATCCGATACTGTAACTTCAGCAGAAATTACCGGTGTTTTGATGTCATAGTCAATGGTGTGGTATGTTGTGTGGCCGAGACGCCTCGCCTCGAAGCAGTCAGACACATCGACAAAGGCTAGGACATTTTGTTTTGATCACATGACGGGTCCTTGAATTGTTGCCACGAGCCCATGGACAGTGCATGCAGGTGTGGGAGCATTCCGATTCAGATTTAGCGCCGAAGGCGTGTTCTGGTGCTTCCTTGAATTCACGACGAAGTGCTTCAGCTTCCGTACAGGTTTGAAAAACGATATCACGCATGTACAGCTGGTTGGTCCCACTTGTCATCGCAGCTTTAGGAGTTGATTGAGTTGTTCGCCGGCCTGTGGGATCGTAACCACCCAGCTGCAGTCGTAGACGTCGAAGGCGTTGTGTTAAGGATACTTGCGTTACTCGTTGCCGGCCCGCCTGGTGCCGCGGTTCCGGCACATGGTCGCTGCAACGGCTTCGGTGTTCAGAGCGACTTGTCACCATAAGGCCAGTCAGCCATTCAAGCAGACGAGCAGTGAGTAACGTGGTGACACGATCCTGAGGTTTGCGTTTTGGCACTCTCCTGGCACTGGGCTGTTGCTGATCTTCAGCCGCTGCATGGTGGACACAACAGAGCATGTCGCGGCATTTCTCGAAGCGGAGCTTGGGAAGCTCATTCAAACACAGTAGAGGGGTGGTCGGCTGACAACTTGGAACAGTGCAAACGAATTTGTACAGGATCATGCCAGGCTATCGAGTTTGTTGCAGCTCGGAGAATATGCAGAATATGGAATGCGCCAGTCATGCACTCGGTGAGCATGCCTGGGTCAGAGTGCTATGCGAAGCCAGCTGGACTCAATGACCTGAAGCCGACCTTTACCCACTGCCTCTCCGTTGTAAAGGACGGTTGCAACTCGATTACCGACAGGGTCGGCTGCTTGAGCAGCCAGAGTGCTGGCTCGAGTGCACAGAGCACTCCAGACCCATGTGTATGGTGTGGAGGCAAAGACTGCCACGGCGATTCGCATGCAGGATGTACGGCTTTCTCCATGCTTGCGAAGACGACAGCAAACACGGTGACAGCAAATGCCTTTGAGAAAGTTGGTGCACTTGAGGTAGCTCACTGCATAGAGGCATCGCCAGAAGCCGGCGGTGCAGCTGTGCCTGGAACTCCTCCAGTTCCCACAGTGCCACCACCGCCCAGCCCACTGGTCACTACACAAAACGACGCTTCAAACGCATTGCTTGGAAGCGCGCCGCCTGCACCGAACCGGGCGCAGCATGACAGGACAGCATGGCAACGGTGTGTTTGACTGGTTTAAATTCCTGAGTGTTGTGTAGTGTCGATGTTGGTCAGCTCGGAAATGATTTTTCGATGCACAAAGGCAGAATGGTACCAAGATGGACTGCTTGCGGCCGGCTACATCTTGTGGTGCCATCAGGGACAAGCTGATCTGTTTGAGCAGCAAGGACTTCATCATGTTGTAGATTGTTGTAGCGGCTCAATCGGCCAGTACGTCGCTCTTGCAGGACGGGCGGATCGGCTTGAAGGAGCATGGCCTCAATGTTGGTGGAGAAGCAGCTGGATCAATACATATCAATACAGCAGCGGCGTGAGCGTTGATAGAGTGATAGATCTCACACCTCTTTTATGTTGCTAGATGATCTAGATGGCTGACAAAGGCATGTGTGTGGTGTGGCGGTGAGCCCTGCACGAGCGGCAGCCCTACGAGTTTGCCAGCGTCATTTTCCATTTTCCATAGCATTGCACATCAACTGTTGCAAGCGAGTTGCACCGTCTGGCAAAGTCTCAGGTAATGGCGGCAACCTCTGTAGCTGACTCAGCAGACGACAACTCTGTCTCTCTCTCTCTCTCTCTCTCTCTCTCTCTTTCTCTCTACCTCTCTTTCTGCACGATTCCCTATGAATTTCTGCCTCGTTGTCTCTGTGCAGTTTCCTTGGAGGGCGGCAGGCCAACTTCAAGCGTTCAAAAACGTTGAGTCTAGTGCACCCACCCGTCTGCGATGAGTGGCACTGACAAGATACGGCATAGCATGATATAGCAAGTCGCGGCACACTTAAGACCATCAATTTGCCAGGGCGCAAGTACAAATGTACTTTTGCAGGAAGCGATTGTTTGAGGCCCCACCCTCCTGCCTGCTCTTCCACGTACCCGCCCGGTGTGTACTTGCGGAGCATCTTGCGGAGCGCAAACCAAGATGAAGCTAACAATCATTCAAGATAAGACCCCAATGACGGCACAGCCGCAATTTCTGAGCGATGTTGTGCCACGCTTCGCGCTGCAAGGGAGGCTGGACCACTGACCGCCTCCACTGCACTTTGGCCGCCGCGCCCCCGGGAATTTACCCCACAATCAGCAGGCATCGGGCCGCCACAAGACGGCAACTGCAGCTTGACATCATGAGCCCAGGAACCTGCACAGCATAGTTGACCACCCGGCTTGCCAGAGTGCGACCATCGTCCATGCCACCAGCACCGTCCAAACAAGCTGAGCTTCAGGCGTTGTACATCAACGGACAGGGGGCCCATCCCAGCTCACATCAGCTCACCCGCAACAGCTTCTCCTTGGGCGCCCCGAGGCCACATCAGCAGACGGCCCGAACTGCCGCGCCGTCTAATGGAGCGCCACCGATTGGGAGCCCTATAGCAGGGAAGGCAACACATATGAGTGGAAAGGACTCGTGTGAAACTGGTGCACAAGCCTCGCAGCCCTGCCTACACCCTGATGGTACCCTGATGAACCAGTTCTCAACATCTCTCAACTCAACACGGCGTAAGGCATGCCTCCGCCACTTCCCGGAAGCCTTAAACACCGCCCCCAAGGAACAGTAGTGACGCACGCCAGGCATAGGAGCAGCCTGAAGGTGGAATGCGAAGGTTATCGCGTGCGGACCCATGACAAGAACAGCTGTTTTATCAGGGCCCATGCCAAAAGAGAACCGCAACTGCGAACCCCAACGGCAGTGAGTCTGAGGGGTTGTCAGGTGTGTCAGCCAGGATTCAGCAAGGATGTCCAAGTCGTCAGCATACAGCAACAAGGAAACCCGCGGTGCATTGGGCCCATCACCAAGTGTAAGGGCCAGCAGATGCAAGCAGCGCGTAGCGCTGCCGCAACGCCGTCAAACAACAGGTTGAACAGCAGTGGTAGTGTCATTGGTGATTTAATCATTGCATAGACGCGTTCCTCAGCCCCACCCGGAACCAAGCTTGACTCTCATCAAGCAATGGACCAGCATGCCGGCAACAAGCGCTTCAACACAAGTCGTTCAAAACCTCTTGACAACTACACAGCCGGCTGATTGGCCGATATTGATCGTGAACTGTTCGGCGCTACGACCTTTGTGAACCGGTGCAACAATGGCAGAACGCCACGCGGTTGGGACAACCGACCAAGCTCAAAAAAATGACAACAACGAGGAGTGCAAGCCTGCATCCTGAACGCGAAGAGTTTCGATGCGCTTCGCAAGGCAAGCCATCTTAGTTCGGCTTCAGAGAACGGAAAAATCTAGATTGCCAGCAGTAGGCATGGAGGCCCTCAATTGTTGCACCGCCCCCTCAGCATCAAAAGTCTGAGAGTAAGGGCGCCTCGAGGCAACAGGCCGAGCGTTCAACGGCACATACGGAAGTGCGTGCGCCAAGCATCTAGACAAGACCTTCAAAAGACACGGCACCGCATCCCCATCGGCTGCTGTACGTTATGCGGAGGCATGAAGCCAGGTACTCCAGAACTGGTCTTTCTTGGGACTCTCAAGGTGATGAAACCGAAGTCGCTGGGAACAGAGCGCGGCACGAGGTCTTGGCGATGGTTCACACCACCACAGCTGATGAACTGCATTTCTGGCGGACAACGAAAAACGTCGGAAAAGTAGGTTTGCGGCGCAACTTGTCTAGGGCAACAGGTCCGGGAAGTGTTCGTGTGTATGCATGCGTGACATTGCAGCAGTGCTTGTGTATGTATGGTCTTGTCTCATCGGTGTGGGTGTCTCCAGAAAGGGGTGTTGCTTTGTATCTACAGCAGGGCTTGGTTCTTGCTTGCATTCATCCGGCGGCATTGCAGGCGAACCCTATGACTGGCTTCAACACGGTGAAGGGCTAGCTTTCGCAAAGGCTTCATCCAAAATCCGTAAGACAGCAATGTTCTGGCCTCGATGAGAGTATGCTGTGTACACAACATGGTTGCACTTGTTTTCTGATTTACTGAGGTGTTCCGAGGAAACGCTATTCGACATCGAGGAAGTGGGTTGCTTACAGATGCAACCCGAAGGATGCAACAACATCCGAGCGAATGCCTAAGTTGCTGGCTGACGGAGTTGTGACGCGGGAATGGTTGAGAATGGGAATACACCTCATGAGCACTGACGTGACAAAACGCACCAGACAAGGAAAAAGAGAAATGCTTGACAAGTGCCTCGGCCACCAAAATGAGTTGGTTGTCGAATGGCATGTGCTGCTTTAACCCCCGCGTGTGATTCCCTTTAATTGAAGGCCGGGATGGCCGCCCTTTCATCAAAGTTGCCGGCTTCGACGTTCATGCCCAGCCTTGCGTTTGGTGCGGGGGGAAGCCCTGCCATGGAAACAATGACAATTTGTGCTGCTTGACGTGGCAAAGAGCGTTATTCCATTACAATGTGTGGGATAGGCATGTGTTCTCCAGCGTGCATGACTGTGCACGCGCAGCCTCAGGCGAACCCTACGACTTCATAATCAACGGTGGCGGCCATGCTTTCAAAAGCCTTCCTGGGCCAAGGACCGTTGCAGGCGAG